CCTTGGGTGTGCGCGTGGTGTAATGGATAAAGGCTCAGAATTGTTAATCGGTGAGGCGTGTTCGAATTTCAGTCTGGTTTGTTCTATTCACTTACGCACAAATACGGTTGAGAAAGGGATAAATCCACCTCTTCTCCCCCAACAAGGGTTAATTAGTAGATCATGTATCAGTAAATTATTATTATCTAAAAACAATTCTTACAATGTAGAAATATTTTCCCACTTCGAGTCGATATCCATTAGACCACGGTGAACATCAGCACACGACATTACAAAAACTAAACAAACAATGGATGATTCTAATCTGGCCGGGATCGAAATAAATAATGAATTTTAATTATCGAATATTAGAAATGAAAATGTTGGAGATGTAAGAATAGAAAATGGCGTCTTGAATAATGGGTGAAACTGAAAGGTTAAAAACAAAATAGAAAATGAATAGAAATTAAACAGAGATGGGGAGAGAGAGTGTTAGAGAGAGGGTTAAAGAGAGAAAGAGAGTAACGGAGAGAGAGAGAGAGAGATATGGAAAGAAAAAGAGAAAGAGTGAAAGAAAGAAAGAGGGTGTGAGAGAGAAAGACAGAGGGTGTAAGAGAAAGAGAAAGAGAAAGAGAGAGGATACAAATTACGAGGAAATTGGGGGAAAAAAATCTCATTAAAAGAAAAAAAGAGAGAACAATGATCGTGTCCCCAAGAACGTAACCAGCCTTGGGCCGTAAAATATACATTTTACAAATAATGTATATTTTACGTCTACCTTTGATATAGGCATAAAAATTTATAAATTATTTACAAAAACATTGAAAGTATTTTGACTGATTGCTTTGTTTTTTTAGGGCTTATCAACACTTTGCAGGTTATTTAAAGGCATAAAAAATTGGGATTTTAATAATTCTGGGGTGATAATAATAAATCAGGAGATAGTTGGGGAAATGAGAATAAACATTGTTACGAAACGAAAAAGAAATCGCAATAAAAAAGAGAGAAAGAGAAAATCTATTCCTTAATTGTTTACAGTTTCTCCAAAGATCGTAACCAGCCTTGGGCCGGAAAATGTGCTACTATTAATATTAAATGACCAGGATAATCACCATTGGCAAGTAATTGTACATTTCAACTAACACCATTTAATCACGTATGAGAAAGGCATACAAGTTTACACAAACATAAAAGACATTCAAAGTACATTGATAAATTGATTAAATCTACAGCTTATCAAACTTTAGCAGGTTATTTAAAGCCAGAAAATATTTCTACGTTCTAAGAATTGTTTTGAGATAATAATAATTTACTGATACTAATTAACCCATATCTAGGGGAGAAGAGGTGGATTCATCCTTTTCCCAACCGTATTTGTGCGTAAGTGAATGTAACAAACCATGTTTAGTAAAGGTAATATTTTATTAATATTTAATTTTACGGCCCAAGGCTGGTTACGGTCTAGAGGCCACGATCTTTGATAAATTTATACCAAATCGAGATTAGGTTTATAATTTGTTTTTTTTATTGCATTTGTTTTTTTTTCTCTAACGAAGTCATTTGTGCCATCTTCTTTATGACGTATATAGTTTTCTCGCTACATAATTGATTTTACTGTTTGTTGTATTTTTTTTTTTTTGGAGGGGGGTTCGTCTAAATGACGTAAAAATGAAAATAACACTGACATCTCCTTTTAACAGATATATTTACCAAAATTACTTCAATCACGGCCTCCACAATACTTTGCAATCTCCTGAAACTAGGTTCTTTAGACTTGGTTAGCAACCAATCTACCACAGAAAGAAATAGCAACCAACTGCGGGAAAAAGCTGCCTCGTCAGTCATGTATCGAAACAGACATGATCGCCCAAGCTTGTATCGCGTATGGCACTTAACTGACTGAATGTTACTTTTCATCTTTGACCATTTATCTTCAATATTTTATATATTCATTAGTAACGGTAATATTATTCCTTTCCTTATTTTACGGCCCAAGGCTGGTTACGGTCTACAGGTCACGATCTTTGGTAAATTTATACCTATTCGAGATTAGGTTTTCACTTTATCATTTTCTTTATGACATTTGTTTTCTTTTTCTAACGATGTTTTATTGTTTTCATTCGTGCCATCTTCTTCATGTTGTATATAGATTTTCTCACTTCTTAATTGATTTTATTGGGTTTTTTTTTTGGGGGGGGTTACTATAGAGGATGGAAGTCGTCTAAATGACGCCAAAATGAAAATAACCCTGACATCTCATTTTAACAGATCGACAGGGTGCGATGGATAAATTGTCGTCCAATTGAGGCCAAAATGAAAATAACCCTGACATCTCATTTTAACAGATCTACAGGGTGCGATGGATAAATTGCCGTCCAATTGAGGCCGAAATAAAATAACCCTGACATCTCATTTTAACAGATCTACAGGGTGCGATGGATAAATTGCCGTCCAATTGAGGCCGAAATGAAAATAACCCTGACATCTCATTTTAACAGATCTACAGGGTGCGATGGATAAATTGCCGTCCAATTGAGGCCAAAATGAAAATAACCCTGACATCTCATTTTAACAGATCTACAGGGTGCGATGGATAAATTGCCGTCCAATTGAGGCCGAAATGAAAATAACCCTGACATCTCATTTTAACAGATCTACAGGGTGCGATGGATAAATTGCCGTCAATTGAGGCCAAAATGAAAATAACCCTGACATCTCATTTTAACAGATCTACAGGGTGCGATGGATAAATTGCCGTCCAATTGAGGCCAAAATGAAAATAACCCTGACATCTCATTTTAACAGATCTACAGGGTGCGATGGATAAATTGCCGTCCAATTGAGGCCAAAATGAAAATAACCCTGACATCTCATTTTAACAGATCTACAGGGTGCGATGGATAAATTGCCATCCAATTGAGGCCAAAATAAAAATAACTGACATCTTATTTCAACAGATAGACAGGGTGCGATAGATAAATTTTCGTCCAGTTGAGGCCAAAATGAAAATAACACTGCCATCTCAGTTTAACAGATCTACAGGGTGCGATGGATAAATTGCCGTCCAATTGAGGCCAAAATGAAAATAACACTGGCATCTCATTTTAACAGATCTACAGGGTGCGATGGATAAATTGTCGTCCAACTGAGGCCAAAATGAAAATAACACTGGCATCTCATTTTAACAAATCTACAGGGTGCGATGGATAAATTGTCGTCCAATTGAGGCCAAAATGAAAATAGCATTGACATCTCATTTTAACAGATAGACAGGATGCGATGGATAAATTGCCGTCCAATTGAGGCCAAAATAAAAAATAACACTGACATCGTATTTCAACAGATAGACAGGGTGCGATGGATAAATTGCCGTCCAATTGTGGCCAAAATGAAAATAACACTGACATCTCATTTTAACAGATCTACAGGGTGCGATGGATAAATTGCCGTCCAATTGAGGCCGAAATGAAAATAACCCTGACATCTCATTTTAACAGATCTACAGGGTGCGATGGATAAATTGCCATCCAATTGAGGCCAAAATAAAAATAACTGACATCTTATTTCAACAGATAGACAGGGTGCGATAGATAAATTTTCGTCCAGTTGAGGCCAAAATGAAAATAACACTGCCATCTCAGTTTAACAGATCTACAGGGTGCGATGGATAAATTGCCGTCCAATTGAGGCCAAAATGAAAATAACACTGGCATCTCATTTTAACAGATCTACAGGGTGCGATGGATAAATTGTCGTCCAACTGAGGCCAAAATGAAAATAGCACTGACATCTCATTTTAACAAATCTACAGGGTGCGATGGATAAATTGTCGTCCAATTGAGGCCAAAATGAAAATAGCATTGACATCTCATTTTAACAGATAGACAGGATGCGATGGATAAATTGCCGTCCAATTGAGGCCAAAATAAAAAATAACACTGACATCGTATTTCAACAGATAGACAGGGTGCGATGGATAAATTGCCGTCCAATTGTGGCCAAAATGAAAATAACACTGACATCTCATTTTAACAGATCTACAGGGTGCGATGGATAAATTGCCGTCCAATTGAGGCCAAAATGAAAATAGCACTGACATCTCATTTTAACAGATATATTTAAAAAATAAAAAAATATCTAGAAATGCTAAAGAGTAAATCTATTCAATATAATCGCCATTGCCTTCAACCACGGCCTAAACACGACTTCGGAATCTACTGCATCTTTTTTGGATGGTCTCCTTGTTTATGTAGGTGAATGTTGCCATAATCCTTGCCTTCAGTTCATCTTTGGTGTTACAAGGAGTTTTGATAATAATCAAGGCGGTTGCAGTCTGGGAAGTTAAGTGGCCAAATATAAGGCGTGATGTGGGCGCAGAAATCCTCTTACAGCCATGGCTTGGTTTACATTATTCGGACTATTGTCCTCATCTTTGTCGCCATATTTATTACAACGTTTCGGCCGTTGTACACTCCGGCCTTCTTCAGGTGGTTGGAATGTCGAACTGAATCCTGTTCTAGTTTTAATGGTTGTCAGTTATCAGTTATCTCCTGTTAATTTTCCTCAGAAAATTCTCCACTGCCTTAACCAGGTATTGAACATACTCTTTAGGTCCTGTCACTGGATCTAAATAACTCCTTTATCTGTGCCATGTGTCCTTGTGTATGATTTTCTGGGTATTATAAACCTAATGTCATCAGCAACCATTAATCATGGCACGTGGAACTAGAACAGTCTACCCCATTGAGCGAAATAAAGGTTTCCGTTCGACATTCCAACCACCTGAAGAAGACCGGAGCGTACAACGCCGAAAGGTTGTAATAAATATGGCGAAGAAGATGAGGACAATAGTCCGAATAATGTCAGTAATGGAAATATTCGTCATTCATTAATCGAGCAGACAGTGCGACTCGAATTACGATTTACTTCACTCCGTGTCCATCGGACGGGGATAAAAATATAGTATCTGTTTTCCTCACGTCTGACGGGAATGATAATATTAAATGTTTCCTTATGAGGAA